TCGGGGAATATTGGACTTTTTTTTTCTAGATGTTGAGCAACTCCTTTTATCACTTACTATTTTCTCCCAAATCTCTTGCTATTGCCACGTCAATCAGACGCTAGTAAAATTCCTAGGTGGCAAAATGTGGCAGGATCTTGTCTACAGCAATCGATAAAGTTGCTGCTGCTGCTAGGATCACCATTGAGATTGTTGGACTATTTCCAAGAGGAGACGTAATGATTTATAGTAATGTCAGTGGACTAGTAATCCAGAACAGTAGGCTGTTGTTCTGGGACATGGACTCAAACCCCACTGTGGCAGATAGTCAAATTTGATTTTATTTTTCGCTCAATGAAAATGGGCATTGCTGGCTGGTCAACGTTTATCGCCCGTGCCTACCTGTCCTTGAGAAGATGGTGGTGAACTGTCTGCTTGAACTGTTGCAGTCCACGTGCTGTAGGTTGACCCATAAATCCCTTAGAGAGGGAATTCCAGGATTTTGACCCAATAACAATGAAGGAACAACAGTTTATTTCCAATTAAAACTGGAATAAAAACCTAGTTTATTGGTGACAATGTAACAAATGTCGAACGTCATAAATTCACATCTGGTTCACTTTAGGAAAGGAATTACCCAGGATTACTCAACCTGGCTTACATGTGAGTCCAGACCCACAAATAGAATTAAAAAAAACAAAAGAACTGCGGATGCTGTAAGTCAGGAACAAAAACAAAGTTCCAGCAACTTTGTTTTTGTTCCACAAATAGAATTGACTCTTAACTGCTCTCTGGGCACTTAGGGATGAGCAATAAATGCTGGGCCTAGATGGTGACACCCACATCCCATGAATGGATCCCATGAAGCTGCTGAATGACACAACTAAGCAACCCCAACAGATCAGATCCAAGTTCTGCAGTCCTGCCACATCCAGTCATGGATTGTGGTGGGCAATTAAACAACTCACTGGAGGAGGAGGCTCCACAAATATCCCCATCCTCAATGATGGAAGAGCCCAGCACATCAGTGCAAAATATAAGACTGAAGCTTTTGCAGCAATATTCAGCCAGAAGTGCCAAGTGAGTGATGCATCTTGGCCTCCTCCAGTGGTCCCCAACATTACAGACACGATGTCTTAAGCCAATTTGATTCACTCCACATGATATCAAGAAACGGTTGGAGACACTGGATACTTCAAAGACTACGGGCCCTGACAACATTCCGGCAATAGTACTGAAGAAATGTACTCCAGAACTTTCCAGTCCCCTAGCCAAGCTGTTCGGATACAGTTACAACAGTGGTATCTATTCGACAGTGTGGAAAATTGCCAAGTATGTCCTGTACATAAAAAGCAGGATAAATCCAATCTGGCCAATTACCACCCCGTTAGTCTGCTGTCAATCATCAGTAAAGTGATGGAAGGTGTCATCAACAGTGCTATCAAGCAGCACCTGCTCACAATAACCTGCTCAGTGATGCCCAGCTTGGGTTTCGCCAGAGCCACTTAGTTCCTGACCTATTTACAGCCTTTGGTCCAAACATGGACAAAAGAGCTGAATTCCAAAGGTGAGGTGAGAGTAACAGCCCTTAACATCAAGGCTGCATGTGTGGCATAATGGAGCCCTGGCAAAACTGAATTCAATGGGCATCAGGGGCAAACTCTCCAGTGGTTGGAGTCATAACTGACACAGAGGAAGATGGTCATGGTTGTTTGAGGTCAGTCACTTCAGCTGCAGGACATCTTTGCAGGAGTTTGTCAGGGTAGTGTCTTCAGCCCATCTTCAGCTGCTTCATCAATGACCTTCCATCCATCATAAGGTCAGAAGTGAGGATGTTCACCAGGGATAACACGATGTTCAGCACTAATCGCAACTCCTCAGATATGGAAGCAGTCCATGTTCAAATGTAACAAGATCTGGGCAATATCCAGCTTGGGCTGACAAGTGGCAAGTAACATTCGTGCCACACAAATGCCAGGCTATGACCATCACCAATAAGAGGCAATCTAACCACTGCCCCTTGGCATTCAATGGTTTTACCATCACTGAATCCCCCATTATCAACATCCTGGGGGTTATCATTGACCAGAAACTCAACTGGACTCACCGCATAAACACAGTGACTACAAGAGCAGTTCAGAGGCTAGGAATACTGTGGCAAATAACACTTCCTAACTCCTCAAATCCTGTCTACCATCTACAAGGCTCAAGTCAGGAGTGCAATGAAATACTCCCCTCTTGCCTGGATGAGTGCAGCCCCAACAACACTCAAGAAGCTTGACATCATCCAAGACTAAGCAGCCCGCTTGATTGATACTACATCCACAAGTATCCAGTCCCTCCACTACCAATGCTCAGTAGCAACAGTGTGTACTATCTACAAGATGCACTGCAGAAATTCACCAAAGACCCTCAGACAGCATCTTCCAAACCCACAACCACTTCCATCCAGAAGGACAAGGGCAGCAAAACCACCACCTCCAAGTTCCCCTCCAAGTCACTCACCATCCTGACTTGGAAATATATTGTTGTTCCTTTACTGTCGCTACGTCAAAATCCTGGAATTCTCTCTCTGATGGCATTGTGAATCAATCCACAGCATTGATTCAAGAAAGTAGCTCACCACCACCTTGTCAAGGGCAACTAGGGGCGGGCCATAAATGTTGGCCAGTCAGTAGCGCCCACATTGCACAAATGAATTTTGAAAAACTGTCTTACCCATTAACTGCTATAGAAAAGATGTTGGCTTGCCTTTGTGCAGTTGTCATAATTGCTTTCCAACAATATTTCCAAGGGGAAAATTTTAACCAGGCACTAGATAACAATTGAACATGGAGCAATAGCACTTAATAAAACTTTTCATTGCCCAATTACAGCTTGTATCACATCCAACTCTGAATCATTAAAACAATACACATGTAAGTAAAATTCTCAAGGTCAGTGAAGTTGTAGTCCAACAAAAACAAACCTGAAACATTAACTCTGTTTTTTCCTTCACAGATGCTGCCAGACCTGCTGAACTTTTCCAGCAACTTTGTTTTTGTTCCTGATTTACAGCATCCGCAGTTATTTCAGTTTTTATTAAGTTGTAGTCTAAATGTATTGTTTTGGTACTATATTTATGCTGAGACACAACATGAATTAAAATTATTTTAGGTTCAATGTGATTTTAACAAAATTTTTTATGACAATAAAGAAAATATTTTGTTCAGGAGTGCTGAGGTCAGGAGCTCCTGTGTTGCCGATAAAATGAAGTCGCTGCAGGCTGAGCGAGATGACTGAAGGCAGAAACCAGCCGGATCTGCTGCTAAAGCTAACTTTAATATGTTGTAAAAATAAAATGCTTTGATCAGATCTGCTATTTTGTTGAATTTGTTTTGCAGATAATGAAACACCAATTAAATACTTGCGCATTTTTTTGGCTTTGTTAATTTCTGTAATGCATCCTTTCAGCCTACAGTGAAGCCAGGCTGCTGTCCAGTTTGTGAATTTTTCTGATACCCTCCTAAAGTACTTCTCCCATTGTCAGCTCATAGGAGATGGACTATAAGGAGTAAAACGTAATATACTGTCTATCCTGTTACAAGTAACGAAAAAAGTAAGGAGTACTGGAGTACTCTGTACTTCTGACAGTTGTGCTTGCAGTCAATGTATGAACTTGTAAATGGCAGCTCTTAACCAGGGAGTTTGTGCTATTGATTGCAGCCTGGTCTAGAGAGGCCATGTCGTTTACCTTACAGAGCAGTCTCTACCACAACCCAATCCATATTAAAATGTCTGTGCTGTTTGTTGTGTCTAATTATTTCTCAGAGACCAATATTTTTCCCAAAGGCTGAGAAATCCGAAACTGTCCATGATAGCAAAACTAGTTTGGTATCCACAATGGTTTATAAGTAGTTTTTTTACAATATGCATTGCATAGGGATCATAGAAAAGCAGCAAAAAATAATCTTGGGACTTCAAGCTCTAAGTACAAAGAAGATATTGCTGAATTCATATCATGTAGAAAAATGAGCAGTGCCCCTATGCCAACTCATTGAGATTCCTGAACATATGGAGAAAGCAGCCAGGCCCAGTCTGAACATGCTGCTCCACAGGAGACATAGCCAGCAATAATCCTGACTAGGACCTCAGCTATGATGAGATAAACAACATGACAGGCTCCAGAGGCTTTTGTTAAGAAGTGCTATCTAGCTATTTCACACTATTCTGTCGATGAGGGAGCCCTCTGAAAAAGTAGAAGGTTAAGTTTGAAGGGATTCCTGTTTGCAGGTACTGGTGGAAACTACAGTGGAAAGAAAGTCAGATCACACTTATTTTAACATCAAAAATGATTAGATTTGAAATAATGCGTACAGGGAATATTTATGACTAGGTTGGATATGTCTTAAAGACTGTATAAGAAGTATTTCACATAAACCAGCTTTCCATCCACCGACTCCATCTATTACTCCCACTGCCTAGGGAAAGCAACCAACATAATCAAAGACCTCACCCATCCTGGTTAAACTCTCTTCCACCTTCTTCCATCGGGCATAACAGATTCAAGAATAGCTTTATCCCCACTGCTTTAAGACTTTAGAATGAACCTCTCATGTTACTGTTGATCTCTCTCTCTGCATCCTATCTGCAGCTATCACACTGTATTGTGCAATCTGTTCTGCTGATGCACTTTGTCTGGTATGATCTGCCTGTATAAGCACGCAAAACAACACTTTTCACTGTATCTTGGTACATGTGATAACAATAAATCAAACCCAAACTCAAAGTGGACAAGAGCATTTACTAGGCAAGCAAGATGTAGACACCAATGGTGATATAAGAAATAAAAAGGTGCGTTTAAAACAAAAAAGATGAAGTATTAAATATATTAATTTAACTCAAAGAAGACAGATAACATCCACACATTTTAAAATAATCTAGAGAAGATAGAGGTGTTGCTACAATAATTAGTTGTGGAAAAATGTTGTGTCAGATAACAATGTGTATTTAAGAAGGGAGATAGAATGTGTCCAAGGAACCATTGATCAGACTGATATATTAGTGGTAGGAAAACTAATGGGTTCCTTACTAAGGAGGGAATAGAATTATAGAGTCATATAGGATGGCAAGAGGCCTTTCAATCCAAAATCCTAAATTAACCCAGTCCCATCTGCCTGCACTTGGCCCATATCCCTCCAAATATTTCTTATTCATGTAATTATTCAAATGCCTTTTAAAGGTTCTAACTGTACCTGTGTCTACCACTTCCTCTGGAAGTTCATTCCACACACAAACCACTCTCTGTGTAAACAAAAAATGCCCCGCATGTCTTTTTTAAATCTTTCTCCCCTCACCTTAAAAATATGGCCCCTAATCTTGAAATCCTCCACGTTAGAGAAAAGACACCTGCCATTCATCTTATCTACACCCCTCATTATTTAAAAGTCTCTATAAAGTCATTTCTCAACCCGCTGTGTTCCAGTGAAAAGAGTCTACAACCTATCCAGCTTCTTCTTATAACTCATACCCTCCATTCCTGGCAACATTCTGGTAAATCTCTTCTGAACTTTCTCCAGTTTAATAATATTCCTCCTGTTACAGGGCAACCAGAACTGGACACAATGCTCCAGAAGAGGCCTCACCAATGTGTTAATTAAATTTTGGAATTAAAAGCACAATTTCTAAATATGAAGATGACACCAAATTGGGGTGTGGTGTCGTTGGACAGTCAATACTAAAGAAGACTATGACACATTGCAAGAAGATAATAACAAAATTGTAAAGTGAACATAAAATTGGCATTTAAATTTCCACATATGTAAGTGTTAGATATAGCATTTTAGCAAGAAAAATAGTTTGCATATTTCTTTAGAAATAAGAACCTGGATGGTTCGGGGAGCAACTGAATCTGAACACAAATATACCAATAACTAAAAGTTTCGCCACAGATTAACCAAGAGATAAAATAACAGAGAAACCGAGGGTTGTTTTTGAGAGGGAAAGAATTGATCGTAACATGTTACATCAAATTTATATTGAAGATTGACTGGACCATTCCTAGAGTACTGTGTACAATTCGGCTCATCATATTATAAAAAAGAGACATAAAGATCATAATAGACATAAAAATAGACAAAAAGACACAAAAGAACAATTGAAAAGATCTACTGAATGCTGATGCATACCTGTCAGGTAAGGATGAAAAAAATTGGCGTCTTTCCTCTTAAAAAGAGAAATCTGAGGGGGGACACAAATAAAAGTTAACATTATGGAACATCATGAAATGTTTTAATAGAGCAGATGCAAACAGAATGTTTTCACTCAAAGCTCAGATTCAAGGAACCAAGCAGTCAAATAGGAATTCAGAAGAAACCTCTGAAGCTAGAGAGAGGTGGGAATGTGGAACTCCCTACTGCACCAAGTAGAGTCATACAGCATGGACACAGAGCCTTCAGCCCATATCTGTACCAACCAGATTTCCAAACTTATTCCCATTTGTTTGTGTTTGGCTGATATCCCTCTAAACCATTCCTATTAATGTGCCTGTCCAAACATCTTTTAAATGCTGTAATTGTACTTGCTTCTACCACTTACTCTGGCTCTTCATTCTACCTGAACACCACTCTCTTTGTGAAAAAGCTGCCCCTCAGGTGCCTTTTAAATCTCTCCCCTCTCACCTTCAATCCATGCCCTCTAGTTTTGAACTCCCTAACCTAGGGAAAGGACCTTGACTATTCACCTTATCTATTCCTTTCAAAATCTTATAAACCTTTATAAGGTCAACCCTCAATGCCGTATGGTCCAGGGAAAAAAGTAGAGAGCCTATCCAGCCTCTCCTTACAACTAAAACCCTCCAGTCCCTTGTAAATCTTTTCTGCACCCGTTCCAATTTAATAACAACCTTCCTACATGCAGGATGACCAGAACTGAACGCAATACTCCAAAAATTGCATCATCAGAGTCTTGTACAGCTGCAACATGACATGTCAACCCTATACTCGATACTCTGACCAATGAAGGCAAGTGCGCCAAATGCCTTCTTCATCACCCTGTCTACCTGTATACCATTTTCAAGGAATTATATACCTGAACACCTAAGTCTTTCTCTGTTCGACAGCATGCCTACCATTAACTGTGTAGGTCCTGCCTTGATGTGACTCACCAAAATGCCAGTACAAAACAGTCTTCTTCTGTACTGTAACAATTGTCTGATTCTGTGCTTCAGGTTTTTAGTGTAGGATGATGTAATTTGATAACTTTGTTACCTCTCCTTATAAGAAAATCCTTACATACCTACATCTACCTAGTGAATCTTCCACGGACTGCCTCCAATGCCAGTATATATTTGCTTAAATAATTGGACCACAACTCTTTACATACGGCTGACAAGCACAGTTGTTGCAAGGACAGTGAAAATGAAGGCTTTAATGGAATTCACTTTTCCTAAAACTAAATGAGAAATCATGAGGTAATATGTAAATTTTGCCATTGACGTGTATGTAATTTCTGTACAATAGCAGTATCTTTGACAAATTTGTTAAATAATCAAAAATATTGTTTTTATCTAAATTAAAATCTATCTGCCACTCTTTGGCTTATTGGCCCAGTTGATCAAGATCCCATTGTACTCATAGATACCCTATTTCACTGTCCTCTATACCACCAACTTTGATGTCATCTGCAAGTTTACTAACCATGCCTCCTATATTCCCATCCAAATCGTTTATATAAATGATAAACAATAGTGGACCCAGCAACAATCCTTATGGAATACCGCTGGTCACAGGCTTCCAGTCCAAAAAACAATCATCTACCACCACTCTCTGTCTCCTACTGCCAAGCCAATTTTGTATCTAATTGGCTACTTCTCCCTGGATCTCATGTGATCTAACCTTATGTGTGGATACATTTAAGAAAAGTGTAGATAGGAATATACGGATGAAGGGAATATAGGTTTATGCTATTAAAGTTAAATGAAAGGAGGGAGGAGGTTCA